GAGCAGACACTGGTTCAACTATTGGAATCCCTGTCGTTCATACAGAAGACCAGAATGGCGCTTCTGGCTCCTAGTTTTGGCTTGGCCCAGCCCCACCTATTGTGGCTATTGGGGGAATGAACCAGCGGATGGGAGACCTCTTTCTCTCCCTTTGTCATTTTGTCTTTCAGATAAATACAATTATAAATCCTTAATTAAAAAGAAAAAGCATAAAATGTTCAACTGTTGAGTCTACACATACATTTGAACATAACATTAGGAGCCAAATATAAGGTCTATTCATTTTTAAAAATGATGTGACAATGTAATTTTAAAATATGTGTACAATGTGCTAAGAAGCTATACCCTTTAAATTCAGAATATAAAGCTTTAATAAGCAAGTTAAAAAATATGCATAAGGTGCAGAATTTCATGTTCTGGGACTTCAGGAGCAAAAAAATTTGAAGAACCTTGCTATAGAGTAAACCTTTCCAAGATGGAATAATGAGAAAAGTGAACAACTTCCCACCAACCCAGCAAGTGAGGACGACTAGAAGTGGAACGGGATTTGCACGTTCTCTGTACTTTTCTTGGTCCTTAAACACATTCTTCGAATCTGGTTCTACAGCCAACCATTTACAAGACTGATGATTTTAAGCATCTGACTTTAAGTGCACTGCTGACGGCATTAGACCTCACTTGCTGAGACGGATCTGATCAAATCTCCCGAGGAGACTGCTACAGTTATCTTCCCTGGGAGCTCTCTAGAAAGACCTATGGGACAATACTTCACCCATAAAGGTTCAACAATTTTGCATTTATCTTAGCACATAAAGACATGTCACTACTGGGGCTGTCACATTAAACGCATCTGTCCAGTTGTCACTTGGGAGTGACACCAACTCTGCAACAAAGCAGAGATGGCTTTATATCATGTGCAGTGTTTTACATATGGCAAATGTACCAAGATGTTACCTCAACAGACAGACCCAAAGTCCCCCCAAACTCTCTGTCTTCCTTCCTCCTTTGATTCTGCAACCTCTCTCCTGCCCTCTGCTTCTTCCCAGACCCTCCTTGGGGAAACAGAAAGTAATCTAAACATGATGGACGACGCCAGTGCTTAATTCAGTGTCTATGCTGTTTTAAAAATATTGACTTTCCCGGCTTCAAGCTCCTGAGTGAGACAGTGAGGCTATTTAGAGCAGGCAGCCCTACCCACACCTCCTCTCCTTTAGCAAGGGAGGTAGGGCAGCCTGAGATAAGAGGTGAGCCTTTTGAGACAGAGAGTCAGCTAGACACCCCACTGCTCCATTGACTGGATATGAGTCTTTCATTTGATTTCTTAAGGGTCCCCAAGTCCCTGCAATAGAGTTGTACTTTTCAAAGGTCAGAAAGTGCAATTAGAAGATAAAGTTAGGCTAATGAAAATAATTTTGAAATTCATGCATACTTTTTTTCTTAATAACAAGGTTCCACCAACATGTGGAGATCCCTGTATCTACAGATTTCAACTGTTTTTTTTTTGCAAAATATGAATACATATCTTTTATTTCCATTTTCATAAACATATTAAGTTACTCACATATGTATTTATATGCACATATATTTATAGCATCTAGAAATATACCAACAAATAGTCAGCATTCAATAATCAATAGTTACAAAATTCAATTTTTAATGTTCTTTCATGACTGCTTAAAATTAGCCAATATTTTTCTTTTGGCACAATGTCAACTAGTGGCATGTTTTTCATTTTATTTCTACTCTCTTTTTAAAACAAGTGATTTGGAAAATGACTACCTTTCATGTCTAAGTATAGGGTGGGCGTGTGTGTGTGGAAAATGTACCTGCAGTACTAAAACTGGCAAGAAAGACACACACAGCACGAGGACTGAAAGAAACTTGGGACTTCGCAGACAGCATTTATAGACATGGCAACACGTCCCTCACCTTTCTGAAACATTTCTGTGGAATGGGTTTAAAATGAGTACAGAAACTATGATAGAGTCTTAAAGTCTACTCAAATTACATTGCTGAAAACATACTTTCCCCACCAAATTAGCCAAGTTTAAGCAAAAAAGAAAAAAGAGTCCATACTCTAAGGGTGTGCGCAAGTAGTACCTCCACAGGGCTCACGTTAGAGTAAAGGGGTCTAACTTGGAGTCTGAAGCAATTAGCGTGTATCAAAGGATTACAGGAGATTCAGAGCAGGCCTTTATGACAACGGTGAAGACATTGCTGGAAATACCTCCACCAGTGCCACGGTGTCCAGGGAGAAGTAACAGCTCCATACTGGCTTAGTCCAGCCTGCTGCTAATGAACAGCTTGGGAAGCAGGGCATGGCTCAGGTTGTTGAGTTCCTCTCCCCCACATAGGAGACACACACTCACTTCCTGGCTGCTGGGCTCTGGCCCAGCCCCAATGCCAGCTGCTACAAGCATTTGGGAAATGAACCAGTAGATGAAAGATATCTCTCTCCTCATCTCTGATACTGCCTATCAGATTAAATAAAAATATTTTTCAATAAGGTAGGACGATGCTGTAACCAACAGTGTAGAAGGCCAGTGTAGAATGAAACCAACTAATGGCCACAAAAGGAGACTAGATTATAATGATACAGCATTCCTGTGGAATACTATGTAGCTATTAAAAACAATTTTAGCAAAATATTTTAAATGAGATGGGATTGGGCCTGCCTCAGTAGCCTAGTGGTTAAAATCCTTGCCTTGCATGCACAAGGATCCCATATGGAAGTCAATTTGTGTCCCAGGGGCCCCACTTTCCATTCAGCTCCCTGCTTGTGGCCTGGGAAAGCAGTCAAGGATGGCTCAAATCCTTGGGGCCCTGCACACATGTCTGGCCATTGCAATCACTTGGGGAGTGAATCAGGAGATGGAAGACCTTCTTCTCTGTCTCTCCTCCTCTTTGTATATCTGACTTTCCAATAAAAAATAAATAAACCTTCTAAAAAAAAATGAGATGGGATTGTTAAATAAAAGCAACAAGGTGTAAAGCGGTACTTAGTTCCATACTAGTGGGTCGCTCTATGTGCCAACATCACAGGCTGTGTCCCTGCTACCGTGTGAGCTGCTGGGAGTTACAAGCAGTAAAAAGAGAAATGTACAATAAAGAATTGGAATGACACAGAGTGCTGAAAATCCATTCCACAGCTTGAAAGGACACAGTGTTAGCGACTTGCAACCCAAGTCGCTAACACAGTGTTAGCGACTTGAAGAGAAGTGTGGGATGAGCGCACTGCTGATTCAGATCCTTTTTATGAATGGCAGGGAGAGGAAAGTGGGTAATAAAACTTGCGCCTGAAACTGATGCTCAGCCTCTTCAAATTTTCAGGTTAATGAAGCTTTTGAGTGACTTTCACAACCACACCACCACAACACCCTCTGCCCAAAGTTTTGGCAGAGAGCACAGAGATGGTAGAAGCCTGCAAAAGGTGAGGACTGCCAATACACACAGCTGCACACAGCAGGGCCAGAAGTGAGACCGGGAACACACACACACACACACACACACACACACACACACACACACACGAACACCCTGAAAGGCAGGTCTTCAGACGCACAATGACAGCACAGAACACCATCCCACCCCTCTCTCCAGACACCACCTGTCCGCCCCTGGATTCAGCAGCTCCACTCCTCTGTACTTGAGTACTAGTTAACAATTCCTAACTTACTCCCAATGCCCAGCACTGCCACCAACCCATCCCACCACGACAGCAAGCATGCTGGGTTGTTTCCCAGCCTCACAAACTTCTCTGCATTTATGCCTCACCCCTACAGGTCAAACAGTAACAAATGCCTTTGGTCATTTTACACAGCTCATGTTACATTCTCCTTTATCCCAGAAAACAAGGAGTAATCCAAGTGCCCGTGACTTCAAATGACATCCTTCTGCTCCGAGCTGTGCTGTCTACCTGGTGGCCTACTTCGGGGATGTCCACAGCTCGTTCTGCCTGCCTGAATCCAGGTGCTTCCTGCAAATTACTGACTCAGATCCCTTCCTCCCCACTCCCACCCATACCCCTGCAGCATCTTTCTGCAGGTCTTTCCTGCAGAATCTGAAATCGCATGAAACTAAAACTCATTTGAAATTATTGTGAAAAGAAGCAAAGGTGATGGCATCTAAACGGCCACCTTGCATATCACAACGTTGACACTGAAAGGTCTGTACTAGATGCCACAACACACAACCAACAGTTGACACCACATCACACAACCAACAGTTGTGAGCTCTTGGGCTAGGTTTTGGTGGTCTGTCCATTTCAGGAAACACACGTGTTTCTGACCTCAGAGTGCCAAATCAATACATGTTTTAGTGGCTTAATTTTTTTTTTCTCCCAGGCTGGAAATAACGCTAAGCTAATAATTAACCTTAAACATACCATCACTCCTGCTAAAAACATTGTCTTCACTCAGCCCTAAATTACTTTCAGTTGGGTTAAACAAAACAGACAAGCTGTAATAAAAGGTCTCTGAGAAATGTGATCCCTTTCATTGGTCACCCAGGAGATTTTTCTTCTTAAATCTGCAGCTTCCAAGCGGGGGGAGGAGAGGGAGATGGGGGGAGGGAGGAAGGGTAGGGCAGGGAGCACCCAAAACAAGATGCCACCCAGATCATAATTATTATAGTAAGAAAGTTGCTTAAGATAACTCTTCAGGGTTTCGCAGGTTGAGTAATTCTTGCAGGCGGGGAGCAGGGACACAGCTCGCTTCTAAGATTAGTATCTGCAGAGGTTTCCCCGATGTTGATTTTTTTTTTTTTTTTTTTTTTGGCGTCCTTTTTAATTACACTGCAAGGTCTCTGATTTCCACCTCTCTGGCTGCTGCCGGTAGGGAGTGAAGAGCGACGCGCCAGAGCTGCGGCAGCCGCTCGGGCCAACTCTGGCGCTGGCGGGGTGTGGGGGCTGGCAGCCCACTCCCCACCGACTGCCACCCGCCGAGCCCAGGCGCGCACACCCGCGCCGAGCCCGCCTGCCCCGCGTCCCAGCCAGGACTCACCGCTGTCCAGGCGCGCGATCTGGGGCAGCCGGTATGTGCTGACCAGCAGGTCGAGAGGCACGGCCACCGAGCTCCACTTCACATCCTTGAGGCTGCAGCCCAGCGAGGGCGCCGGGTCCATCGCGCCCCCCGCCGGCACCACCCGCGCCTCGGCGGTCGCCGCTGCTCGCGCTCGCGTTCCGGGGCGCGCGGGAGGCGCCGGGCAGCTCCGGCGGCGGGCAGCCGTGCCGGGGGCGGTGGGGGCGCGGCGACTGAGGCGGCCCGCGGAGAAGGGGCCGGCTCCCGGCTCAGCTTGGGCTGCGGCTGCTGCTGCTGCTGCTGCGGGGCATGGCTGGGGCGCCCCCCGCGTGCCCTCAAGCCCGGAGTGGACTCGGAGCAGCCCTGCGGCTGCAGGCGACGGCGGTAGCCCGGGTAGCAGCGGCGGCGACGGCTCCCGCTCCGCCTCCAACTCTGGCCCCGGGTCTGCAGCTGCGGCGGCCGCCCGCTCGCCTCCTCCTCCTCCTCTCACCCCTCCTTCCCTCCGCCTCGAGCGTGTGAGGAGGAGCCGCGGGTCTGAGAAACGCCATAGCAGCGCTCCCAGCACTGACTAATCAACAAGGTGCGAGCAACGCCTGCGCAGCTCGGGGAGACACCGCCCCCGCCCCCGCCTCCCCGGCGCCGCCCGCTCCGCCCCTGCGCGCCCTCCTCCTCCCGGCAGCCCGACGGGCTCGGCTCGGCGGCGGCGGCTCCCCCGGCCTTGGCCGGCGGCACCGGAGGCTCCACTCTCTCCGTAAGCTTTAGCTCTCGCTCCCCCGTCCGACCGCTCGGGCGCCCTGCAGCCGCGCGTTCCACTCTTTCCCTGTCCCGGGCCCTTCCCGCCGCCCAGGGTTGACCGGAGAACTCGGGGATATTTTCTCGGGAGCGCCGGCGTCCCGCGCCCCTCTCCCTCCTTACCCCTGCGATGAGTGGCTGATGCGACCCCACCTACTACCCCAGACCAACTGGGGCTTTCCCTCTTGGTGCCGGATTCCCGGGACTTTCTGCAGGTGGTCCGGAGAGTCCGGGGAGGGGGTGCCCATGAGCCTGGGAAATGTGTGCATGGAAACTTTGGAACCCTACATAGCTGAAAGTTACTTGCACCAAGCATAAAGAAGAGGTACCCAGTAGCAGCAAGGCGTAAGGTAGGCAAGGCTTACGCGAAGGAAGGCAACATTCCTTTCGCTAGCCCCCGAGTTGTAAGCAGGAACTGCCGGAGTGGCTGAAGGTGAGGCCTTCCACAGCCACGGCTAGCCCAACGGTGAGGCAGAATAGGATACTACCGGGAGGACCGTCAGCTGTCTTCACATGCGTTTTCGGCTAAGCTCGCTTGCAAGTGTGGCAAGTTGGAACCGTTGCTTCTGTCCACACTAAAGACACGTAGGCAATTTTACAAGATTGCACCAGCCACAGAAGGCCAACCCACCACTCCAGCCCCCAGGTTTCTTTCCATAATAAATCTGTTTTCCGCAATATTTTACATGGCCTACTCCCTGTGGCCAGAGCTCAGTCAGACTCTAAAGGTGTCTGGGGGATAATTGTTTCTCCAACCATGCCTAACTTTCATGTGCTAATCTATATTAAAACACACACACATACGGTGTTAACTGGGCTGAGCTGAAAAGCTTGTGTGCCAGCTCTGTCTGCCACATACAGTTGGTGTTCAGAGTTTGATCAGGCAAAACAAGCACCTGGTTGCTGCGCTAACCCACAGGCCCCCAGGTCATCCCATGCCAACAGGTAGCCTACCTTAAAAGGTGTTGTGCCAGGCACCAGTGCGGTGGCTGGTTAATCCTCCACCTACAAGCGCTGGCATCCCTTGTAGGCACCGATTTTTGTCGCGATTTCTACCCTGGCTGCTCCACTTCCTATTCTGTTCCCTGCTTGTGGGCTGAGAAAGCCTTGATACCCTGCACCTGTGTGGGAGACCTGGAAGAAGTTCCTGGCTTCTGGCTTAGGATCAGCTCAACTCCAGCTGTTGTGGCTATTTGGGGAGAGAACAGCAGATGGAAGATCTTCCTGGCTATCTCTCTCTCCGAAAAAAAAAAATCTGTCTTTCAAATCAAAATAAATATAACTTTTAAAAAGAAGAAGGAAAAAAGGTCTGTGTCAATGAAAAAAAAAAACCATTCCATTTCCACTTGCAGAAAATAAAAAGTTCTTTTACACTCAGCCTGTTGGTTATCTCACTTAAAAGCATGCATGATCATTTTCACAAAAATTCTGAAGTTTGACCTTTGTAGTGTTCACATTAATTTTTGAAGAAGTCTTGAAAAGAGGGGGTTGGAATTATTTTAGTACTATATATTTTTAGCTGGGAGTCACAGGCCCATAAAGTTTTGAGATTTGCTTGCTTGAAGAAGAATGTTTCGAAATTACCAAGGGCTAAGTGCCAGCTATTTCCCCCCCTAAATGATCCTTTCTGGAAATGAAACTCAGATTTCCAACATGACGTCTAAGGAAACATCTAAGCTTGGATAGGGTCAGGGGTCCTTCCAACCAGCAAGTTGATCCTAAATCTGGATGTGGTAGGTTGATTGAAAAAAATAACTTGCTGCTGTATTATATCCTCTTTAAAAGCTTCAGGGAACATGAAAAGTAATTCCCTGTCACAGAAGATTTGGTGACTTATGACCTAAGGACAAGATAAAAAGAAAGAAGATTAATGTAATCAACTCTGTTTAAATCAATAAAGGACTTACATTAGGTTTGCTCTTATTGCTGAGCTTGCAAAACAGGTCTGGTTTCCATGTTGAGCATGAAAGGGAAGAAATGAACAGCAACCTCGTGGTTTCACAGCCTAAAGGAGGTTTTAGGGAAAGATCTTAAAGACAGAGTTTGGGTTAAGCTGTGAAAACCATCAGCTGAGAAGGGCTGTCTTTCAGTCTGGCTGAGCTCACTTCCAGATATGTGTTTATTCAGATTGCTGGATCCTGGCAAGCCATATATGTAGACCATCACAGTTGGGCACGGGGGCAAAACTTACAGAATTTTAAAGTTTATGAAAAAGGAATGTTCAGGGAAAGTGTTCTGTGAGGTGAAATTTGATGCCCTGTTTCATACAGTACACCTTTAGAAATAGATTTGTGAGGGGAGTCATATTAAGGTGATTAAAAATATTGACTCCAGGGGCTAGCATTGTGTAGCCTGTATTGCCAGCACCCCATATGGGTGCCATGCTGCTTTACTTCCAATCCTGCGCCTTGGTAATGTGCCTGGGAGAGCAGCAGAGGATGGTCCAAATGCTTCTGCCACTGAAATCAAGATGGAACTCCAGGTTCTTGACTTCAGCTTGGCCCAGCCATGGACATTGCAGCCATCAGCAAATGAAAAATCTTTCTGTGTGTTCTCTTTTGTTGTAATTCTCTCTTCCAAATAAATAAGTAAAACTTTGAAAAGCATATAAATTCCTGATCCTGATGGCTGACGTTTGATTAGTTAGTGGCTCTGCTTCTGTTTAGTCTGAAGAAACTTGTTGCTTTCTCCTCTGAGAAATGAGGATAACAGCAGTGCTCATCTCTTAAGATTAATGGGCGAAGGTGATCAAATGCTCTACATTGAGCTCATGGACCCTTGTCTGTTATACCAGAAATGCTATGCAAGGACTTGCCATGATAAGATAAAGCACTATGTGGCTTTGAAGAGGCAAATTGTGACAGAGGAAGAAATAAATGCAGATGCAAGGAAATGATAGATTTGGGAGAAAATGGCTATTTCAGCGTAGGAGTAGAGGAACATTTCTCAAGTGGGACTCTTGGCTGTAAGACTTCACACGTCTAGAGACTGTGGGGTTAACTTACTTCACAGTGCACCATCCTGTACTCAACAGATCTAGGTAGTTCAAATGCTGATTCCAAAAGAATCTAATGCTATTAATAAACTTAGAGGTGAAGTAGGCCTGCAATATTGAAGAACTCCTATGATAGACACCAGTTTCCTAGTTGTGAATGTATTATTTATACATAACTTGTTCATGCTCTGCCGTATCAACTTTGCCAGATAAAAATAATACATGTTGCTTTTCTTTCCATCACAGTGTCCTGGGTCACATAATTCTCCATCAGTCAAACGTGTTATCAAAGTTCACAGCCCCTAATGGTTGTCTGGGCCTCCAGCTTCTTCTTCCTCCTCCTCCTCTCCTATTTTTCAGTTATTTGCCATGCTGTGGACAGAATTAATACACAGTTCGTGCCCTTGCTAAAACCATGTACAGTATGTGTATTTGCACTGGCTGTGGAATAAAGTGCAATGCTCTCTTATGGCCTGAAAGGCTCTTTCCATGTGTGCTTTAGTCCGCCTTCTCAGCCTCATCACTATATCCAATCTTAAACACCCTGTGATCCAGTGCCACTGCATTCTTACAGAGGCCTAAATATGCCAGGTTGATGCGATATCCTTTCAGGGATTCTCTCAGATTGCAATACCCTTTTCCTTTCGTCTTATCATGAAAAACTCTCACTCAGCTCCAACTTCTTGCATTTCCTAAAGTCCTGTATCTCTTCCTCAAGGGTAGTCCTTGTTCTAACTAGTGCACCTGGCCATACCATCATTTAATGTGCTAATTGGGTTATGACTTATGATCTATGTTATGTTGCTTTCCCTAATTTTAGTCACCTCTGTTTCTGCAGCTCCTGTAGCATGCCTAGTACAGGGAAAGTGCTCAGTTAATGTTTGTCAAATTGTGTAATCAATTGACTGAATAATCTTCCTACTCCATACTACTTTTGTAGGTCACTGTATTTCTATGTAACAATTAGTATTCATCAAGCCTAGCAATTTTTTTTGAGGTTTTAAAGATTTGATTGTCATAGGACAATATTTCTGATCAAGTTGATCCATGATACGTTTCATTCATCTTGTATTCTATTGAAATTGAGATATTTTACTCTTGTCACCAAACTGGAGAATATACTTATAGGCTAAGCTAACATTCGCAACCCTTAGCAAAGCTGTTAGCATTTCTGTTAATATTTGGTAGGTTATTTGTGCTGTCTCTTACTGAGCCTTTATCCATCAGAAGGGCTTGATTTATTACTTTGCATCTCTGTCTAGCACTTGACATTCAGTAGACCATCTGTGTATGTGGTAAATGGATTGTATGTCCATATGGTGAATTGATAGACAAGT